TAGAGTGATTTTGCTAAGTAAAATTATCTGTGAGAAAATCACTGTGAGCACCCCACAAGTAAATTTGTTCGAGAAAATTCGTCGTGGGAAATTCTCACAAGACAAAATTTTTCACTGTGAGGACCGCTGCATAATACACGATGGACAGTGACACCGGCATCTATCAGCAGTCTTGCCAAAGACGAAAGACTGCGTTTCGCTTCAAGAGGCCACGGATGTCGATCTTCTTGAGGAAGTCATTCATGTAAGATCCTTTGAAGCTCCTCATTATGCAGTTCGCAAGCGATGGGTTGAAATCACGGAGCATCTTCAGCAAATCTATGGAAACGGGGTTACCGTCAACGCGACACGTAAACGGTTTGAGGACCTCATGACAGCATTTCAAGTTGAGACAATGGCATCCCTTCGCGCATCAGGCACTGATGAGGAATATGAAGAGAGGGAGCAACTACTTCAGGACATCCACGACATGGTGAGTGAAAGAGACAATTGTGCTGGTTTGTTTTTGATGTGACTACCTATTTAGGTTGATGCTGCGAACCCTCGAAAACAATCTTCCAAGGATGAAAAAGCCAAGAACTTGGAGCGGCGTGAATCGAATGGTGAACAGATACGTGATGCTGCTATGACCACAATGAAAAAGCGTACGAGTGACTTTGTGGACGAAGACGACTTTGGACTTTTGAACCCAAACAAGAAGCAAGCCCGCGTTGGTTCTAATCGCATGACAGAGACAGCGTCTGTTGTATCGACATTGGTGGATATGTTGGCCAAAGCGAATGAGGTCAAGGCTGATGAAGCTCAAGCACAGCACAAGAGCAATGAGCTGGCCCAGCAGAAGCTCGAGTTGGAGGAGAAACGATACGTACTTGACAAGGCACAACGTGAAGCACAATTTTCGGTTGAGCGCCGGGAACGAGAAGCTCAATTAAAGTTTATGCAAGGAGCCCTGGAGGTGCTTAAGTCTTTCGTAATGAACAAACAGTCATGATAACCATTTTCATTTTTAATTTGACCATGCAATATCATTTTTGTGATAGGCGTCTTGATAACAATTTTCCGATGAAATGCAATCAATAATTACGACTCTTAGAGTATAGATATTGTTCTGCACTTGGGGGTGGCAAACCAAAGTAATCTGAAACTTGGTTGCCGCCTTTCATGCACATATGAACGTTTGTCAATAAAACAGCAACCGCGTACTGCATTCCAACGGCTTGTCCCCAAAGTTTTTGGCCGTTCTCGTGGTCCACGAATGTCCAAAGGTTTCGGACAATAGAGTGATTTTGCAAAGTAAAATTACGTCTGAGAAAATCACTGTGAGTGACACACAATGAAATTTGTTCGAGAAAAGTCGTCGTCAGTACACCTGACAGAAACAATAAAATTCACTGTGAGAAACATTAATCATTGGACAATGGAAGACGACACCGAGACGCTGTACAGTCCAACCAAAGGGGCAAAACCGCGTTCCGATTTAAGGGTTGCACGGATGTTGACTTACTAAAGGAGGTCATACACGTAAGACCATTTGAAGCACCTTACGGAGAGGTCCGCAAGCGATGGACAGAGGTCACAGAGCATCTCCAGCGCATCGTTGGAGACGGGATCACCGTCAATGCCACCCGAAAGCGATTTGACGACCTGATGACGGCGTTTCATGAAATCACAATGGCCGCGCTACGCGCTTCGGGGACAGAGGAAGAGTACGAGGAACGCGAGCAACTTCTGCAGGATATCCACGACCTGGTATGAATCGACATGACGTGAGATTGAGAGAAAATGAACTGTTTAGATTGAAGCTGCATCGAGTCGAAAGCAAGCAGGCAAAGAAAAAAGGCGAAACAGAACGAGCGACGGGAGACGAATGGCGAAATGATTCGTGATGCGGCAATGTCGACAATGAAGCGCAAGATGATTGAGGCAGACGAAGTGGACTGGAGCGAGGAAGCGACGCGCAACAAGAAGCAGAGCCGCAGCAGCTCACAGCGGCTTACCGAAGCTGGTGTTGTGGTTGCTTCTCTGGTGGAGATGATGTCCAAAGCCAACGAAGTAAGGACCGAGGAGGTCTGAGCACAGCAAAACAGCAACATACTTGCCCAGAAGAAGTTGGAACTGGAGGAAAGGCGATACGAACTCGACAAGGCGGAGCGTGAGGCGCGTTTTGCGCTAGATCGACGAGGAAGGGAGGCTCAGTTAGAGTTTTTCCAAGGAACTCTAGAAGTGTTAAAATCGTTGGCGGCGAAGCAGTAAAGATTGCATTCTTGGTCAAATGATGAACACAATCGAAGAGCGCAATGTTAATTGTCTAGCGACCATTAGCATATAGATAGTCTTCGGCACTTAGGGGGTGTAAACCGAAGTAGTCCGAAACTTGGTTTCCGTCTTTAATGCAAGTATGAAGATTTGTCAGAATGACAGCAACAGCATACTCCATACCGACGGCTTGTCCCCAAAGTTTTTGACCGCCTACGTGATCTACAAATGTCCTAAGATTTCGGTCAATTCCGAAGCCCCACTCTACGCTCACTCGAACAGTACTCATGCGACTGTTAAACGCTGATTGATATTGGTCAAGGCGCGCCCCCTTGTAGCCGCAGACAATGAACTCGTTTGCCCCATACGCAGGATCCCCGTAGATGACATATCGCTTTGCGTCAGTCACCAGCACATCTGACAAAACGGCAAGTATTTCACTCCGCCCAAGCAAGTACGCATCGTGTCGGGAGCCTGGTTCCGGGCCATAAAGATGGACAATAATCCCGTCGGGACTTGTGATTGCTTGGACCTTGAGTGCGTGCTTTCTCTACATGTGAGTGTGAGCAATCTGCGTGCATATGGAATTTGTATCGTCCTCGTGCGTGGCTCAGAAGCATCGAGGAGCAGCGCTACTGCTGTCAGCAGTATGCTTCCTTCGACCATGGGAGGCAAGTGCAGCTCACGAACAAGTTTTCTGTTTCAAAATCATTTCTCACAGAGTTTTTTCCTGTGGAATTTTCTCGAATTTTGGCAGCGAAAATTGTAGTAGCAAAATCACTCTAATACCGAAACCCCACTCCACGCTGACGCGTACAGCACTCATACGACTGTTAAAGGCCTGCTGATATTTGTCCAGATTTGCGCCTTTGTAGCCTGAAGTCACATCGTCATTTATACCATAAGCTGGATCACCATAGATGACATAGCGCTTCGCGTCGGACACCAAAATGTTAGACAGTTTGGCAACAATCTCGCTTCTTTCAAGAAGGTGTGCGTCATGTCGAGAACCAGGCTCTAGTCCGTAGAGGTGAACAATAATCCCATCGGGACTTGTAATGCTTTGAAACTTTAACGCATGCTTTCGCTAATGAATATTCCATGAGCTCATGCAACATAGCACAACTAGCTTACGCACCTTGTGTCCGTTGAATGCTGTCTTTTGCACGCCTTTGCCCGGTCGACAAATTCCAGAAACCGTTCCATCAATAAAACCAATGAAGCAGTCGAGAGGGGCACCTTGCTTGTGAATCGCAACAGCACAGGCTTCCATCCACGCATGACGCAGGAGTTCCTTGTCCCACTGGAGTAGATGCCCGAATTTCTTGTAGATGTAGACCATGACCTCATTTGAAATCGCCGATAGAGCCTCGCGGCTACGCCCAAAGAGCAATACCATTGTTCCTAAGCGGTGCGGCCAGACAAGCCGTTCAAGAGAATACAAAGAGCCTCGTCGGAGCTTGCATTGTATCGTAGCTTTGTGATGACAGGGTTCGGGATTTGGAGGAGCGCGGCAAGCTGTTGGATTTCCGCCTTGTTGAAGCGAAAGTGGAACTCGCACGTGGCATCACTCTGAGCCTTTAGGTTAAATCGGTGTTGGGGTATGTGTATCGCTCGTTTTGTGGCTCGCAAGCATGAAGGAGGAGCGCAATTGATGTGAGGAGTACCGATTCCTCGTCCATGCTCCTCACAATGAATTTTGACTTTGCAAAATCCTTTCTCATAGTGAATTTTGCCGTAGAACTTTCTCGACTTTTCACAGTGAATTTTGTGATAGAAAATACTCTAATAGAGTGATTTTGCAAACGTGAATTTCCTTGTGGACTTTCCTTGTGCGCTATAAAAACGCGCACAGATAGAAATTCGTTTCTAGAATTTCCTTGTGCTGAATTCTCACTGGGAAGAACTCTTCACGTACTCTAGTCGTATATGTGCTGCAAGACGTGGCACGCAATGGCAGAGAGTGCCTCACGGCTCCGACCAAAGAGCAACACCATGGTGCCAAGACGGT